AGTGGGGGAGGAGCAGAGAGAGAGGGAGACACAGAATCTGAAACAGGCTCCAGGCTGAGTTGTCAGCACAGAGCCCGATGTGGGGCTCGAACCCACGAACCGTGAGATCATGACCTGAGCCGAATTCAGACACTTAACCGACTGAGCCACCCAGGCACCCCAAGATAGATGATTTTAAAAACTAACAAGAAAAATGAATCAGAATAAAAATTCTAAAAGTATCCTCCTGTGGTTTAAATTGTGTACACAAAAAGATAATGTTAAAGTCCAAACTCCCAGTACCTATGAATGTGACCTTATATGGAAAGAGGGTCTTTGTGGATGTAATCAAGCTAAGATGAAGTCATACTGCATTAGCCTGGACCCTAAAGCCAATCACTGCTGTCTCTGTAAGAACCACATGAAAACACAGGGACACAGGGAGAAGCCCATATGATGAGACAGAGACTGGAGTGGTATGTCGGCAAGGCAAGGGTTTCTGGCAACTACCAGAAACCAGGCGAGAAACATTAATAAATTTTCCCTCAGAGCTTCCAGAAGGAACCAACTCTGTTGATACCTTGATCTTAGACTTTCAGACTCCAGAACTAGGAGATAATCTATTTTGATTGTCTAGGCTACCCAGTTTGTGGTTCTTTGTTATGGCAGCCCTAGAAAACAAACATGTGCCTTTTACTATGAAAACTGACATTATGATTCTTTGGCATGTTTAGGATGACAAAATGTAGTCTTACCGTAATTTAAAAAAATCAACTACTCTGACAAGTATGAGGTGGTATCTCACTGTAGTTTTGATTTGTATTTCCCTGCCCAGCAACTGTACTACTAGGTGTTTACCAAAAGGAAACACAAATACTGATTCAAAGAGATACATGTACCCCGATGTTTAAAGCAGCACTATCAACAATATGCAAATCATGGAAAGAGACAAAATGTCCATCAAGTGATGCATAAAGAAGATATGGTCTATAGACACAATGGAATATTATTCAGCCATAAAAAAGAATTGAATCTTGCCATTTGCAATGAAGTGGATGGAGCTAGAATGTATTATGCTAAGTGAAATAAGTCAATCAGGAAAAGACAAATACCATCTGATTTCACACATATGTGGAATTTAAGAGACAAAACATATGAACATAAAGGAAAAAAGAGAGAGAGAGGGAGAGAGAGGTGGAGAGACAAGGGAGGGGGCAAACCATAAGAGACCCTTAACTATAGAGAACAAGCTAAGGGTTGATGGAGGGAGGTGGGTAGGGTGATGGGCATTAAGAAGGGCATCTGTGATGAGTACTAGGTGTTATATGTAACTGAGGAATCACTAAATTATACTGATGAATATTACACTTTTAGCTAACTAGAATTTAAATAAAAACCTGAAACAAAAAAAATAAAAATAAATCAACCACAAACTCTCATCATATAAAAGTTAGAACCACTTTGGTTTCAAAAATCATTTAAGAAATGAAAAATCACTGGGGCACCTGAGTGGCTTAGTCGGTTAAGCGTGTCTGACTTTTGATCTCAGCTCAGGTCATGATCTCACGATTCACGGGATCGAGCCTCATGTTAGGCTCTGTGCTGACAGGATGGAGTCTGCTTGGGATTCTCCTTCTCCCTCTCTGTCCCTTCCCTGCTCTCTCTCAAAATAAATAAATAAACATTAAAAATAAGAAATGAAAATGGTTTAAACAGATCCTCCTAATACAAAACCTTAAAAGGCAACAGACTGGAAAATTGACTACAAAGTCCTTGATTCTGAGGTTATTATGTTAAGTGTGGCACCGTAGAGTACAACTAAATAAAAACTAAGTGAATAGAGTTTAAAGGAATTGTCGGAGTTGAGAGAAGTGTATTGAGATTGTCAAGATTACCAAGATTTACTGATTAAAAGTTCCTTATACAACTGAGTAGCAGTTCCAGCCCCCATTGTTCACTTTCTTCATTCTTGGTTTTTATACCCCCAAGGTTTGTACTCCAAGAGTTTTTTATTCTGCAAGACTTTTTTTTTTTTTTTTTTTTTTGGCTAAAGTGTCAACAATGCATGAGAACACACTTTTTTGTCTGTCAATGATCTACAATTTCAGCAAGGAACATCACTGCCATCATACCTCATCCCATGAGAGCCCCTGTACGTGTTCCTGACTGGTGCACCCAGGGGCAGGCCAGTATAGAAGCTGAGTAACAGGTGATGTGATAGTTCACTTGTCCTTGGCCAATTTGTAGAATCCTGTCCCAGTTTATGGAGACCGTCACGATCCCAGTCATCTCATAAATATTTATTTATTCATAGGTGAACAGAATCTTCCCTCACATATCTAGCCATTAATTCCACTGGGGCCACTGTCAAACAATTCTTAGTGTAACAGTCTTTTTCCCACGTGGGGTATACCTACATCACATTTTCATCATTCTGATTATTTCTAATGACAAGGAAAAACTTTTTATAAATATTTTAGATAACCAGTCCTATTTTGTTAGCTGAGTAAATTAAAACTAATTTTCAAGTTCATTTCATGAGGATACATTTCTATTTTTCAAAATGCTAATGCTATCCTCAATTACTTAGAGCACTTACTTTAGAGTTTACATTTTTAACACATAATTTTTCTTATTCAGAAAGCCCTTAAGACTTCAATACAAAATTCAGGTTTAAACAAACATTTATAGCCCATAGGGAACAACTGGAGGCATAGGATTCTTGCAGAAAAACCCTAACATATTAAGCCTTATTTAATCAAATCAGTAGTCATGATGATGAATAAAAAGTAATTCATAGAAATGTAAAAGACCACAATTTATCAGCATTGTCTTTTTTCCCCACACTTAATTAGAATACAAAATTGATCAGGGATAATCAGGTTAAGTACAAATTGAGTAAACCCCAATTACATATTATTTTCTTACTATTCAATTAGCTTTTTCTCATCATGTTTCCCCTAACTATTCCTTTCCAACAAATTAAACATCCAAGGATACATGTGCAAAAGAGGCAATGCTTGCACCAGCATGTATAACTAGCTTAGTTTTAAAAACTGCTCTTAGGTGCGGCTTAGCTGGTTAAGCACTGTCTCTTGATTTCAGCTCAGGCATGGGAGTGAGATTGAGCTCCGCATGGAGCCCCAAACTGGGTTACATTCTGGCCCGCCCCCACATGTGCATGTTCTAAATAAATAAACATTTTTAAAAAATTAAACAAAATCTGCTGTAAGACAGGTGATTTTTCCAATTATTGAAACTATCGTTAAGAACTAACATGGGCATTCAATACATAATTTAAAAAATTATTTTACTTGTTGATTAATGGGACAATTATATTTCATCAGAACTATAATTTTATCTACTTATTCATATAAATAAATAGAGCTCTGAAATATGTCAGAGCTTTAAAAAGTCAAGGTGCAGCATGTTTCTACACATTAGCAGCTTGAAGATGTATGATTGCATCTTCAACATAGTTCTTATTTGGAAAACATTTTTGAAAATATAACTATATTGCTTTTAAGGGCATACACGGGAATTAGGCATGCAAGTTCTGTAGATAAACAGAATTTTAAGAAACTGAGAAAATAAGGTAATAGGAAATAGTTTAAATTATTATCATACAATTGTTTTTTTTTTTAAGTTTATTTATTTATTTATTTTGAGAGAGAGAGACAGAGCACGAGCAGGAAGGGGCAGAGAGAAAGGAAGAGTCACAGAATCTCAAGCAGGCTTACACTGCCAGCACAGAGTCCAATGCGGGCTCAAACTCACAAACTATGAGATCGCTACCTGAGCTGAAGTTAGATGCTTAACTGACTGAGCCACCCAGGCACCCCTATAACATACAATTCTGTTACTGCTCTAACGTGTGTGTGTGTGTGTGTGTGTGTGTGTGTGTGTGTGTGTGTGTGAGAGAGAGAGAGAGAGAGAGAGAGAGGGAGAGAGAGAAAGAGAGAGAGAGGAGAGATAGACAGAAGAGACAGAGGGGGGAGGAAAGAGAGAGAGGCAGAGGGAAGGAGAGAGAGAAAAAAGCAAACGTGTTTCTCCATTGGTGAGAAAGTCTTGGGATGGGTGAAGCACTTAGTTGAAAGTTCATCTACTATGATAAATGGAGAATGAGAATCAGAAGACGCCACGGGAGTTTGTGACAGAGCTGATTCTAACTGGTGAATTAGAAAATCCTGCCCTGCTACTGCTTCTGTCAAGACTATCTGAAGATAGGGGCCTTGGGTGGCTCAGTCAGTTAAGTGTCCGACTTCAGCTCAAGTCATGATCTCACCACCATTCTCAAGTTCAAGTCCCACATCGGGCTCTGTGCTGACAGCTCAGAGCCTGGAGCCTGTTCTGGATTCTGTGTCTCCCTTTCTCTGTCCCTCCCCTGCTCAAGTTCTGTCTGTCTGTCTGTCTGTCTCTCTCTCAAATAAACATTAAAAAATTAAAAAAAAAAGACTATCTGAAGATAAACTAGGGGAAGAAAATGCCATTCGCTAATAACAGATTTCAAAAGATCTCCGTGTACTCTGTTTTGTCTACAAATAAATACAAAATATGTGAAGCAAAGGAGTGGCCGTAGCTAAAAGAGCAATCTCCTAAGAGCAGTAGTAACACCAAGAGTGATAATAAATAAAAACCCATTCACTGTATTTCCCATTTTGATTATTAAAACATGCTTTCTTGGCCCGCTTTTCAATAATATGCTCAGCCTAACGAAGCACACAAAAATCCAAGGTAGAAAAGATGGGCAGGATATAACTTTCTCCAAGCTTACATTTTTATGTATTTCTCCAATGCCAAAACCCCATTTCTAAACATGTATCCAGCATATCTTTGTGTCAGACATAAATGTTAGGGAGAAGAACTGAAGTGAATAGCATCCATTTGGGATATTAGTTTGATAACTTCTAAAAATATTTAACAATATACCATACTTCTGAATATACACAATAGTAAAAACAGACATAAAAGCCAAGTGAAAAATGGCCAATGAATGTTTAAGAATTCCTGTTAATACTCACCAAGCACTCTCATCAGTATTGGGAGAAAGCACGTCGGTTGTGCCTTGGAAAACTCTCTTGGGCTGATCTTTGGCTATCACTTCACCTGTGACTAAAAAAGCAGATCAAGGCAGAACATGTTTTATCTAATATGCTTTTGCTTTTAACTGCAAAAATAAAAACATGTTCATTACAAATAATTTATAAAATACATAAAAGCACAAAGAAAAAAGTTTTACTTCCCCATTACCCAGACAGGACCACTTTCCAATAATTCCTAAATACGTGTGTATCTATATACAGGATTGTTTTTAAAGAAAATTGGATTTGTATATAATAGTGATACATTATCTACTTTTTCTTTTTAATGAGTATAGTTTTCTCACATTATTTACTAAATCTTATAATGTCATTTTATAGAGCCATGTAGTAAGGCTGTGTCATAATTTAATCTCATTCCTTATTTTAAACATTTACGTTACTGCTGTCTTTATTTTGCTAAAAATATACAAAGAACTAAACGGACCAATTCTTTTATAGTATACAATGAACAAAATAAATATATTTTAAAGAATAAGGAGAAGCGTCTAATGTCAAAACTGTACTGCTGTCATCTTATGACAAAGTCAATGGTAAAATTTGCACAGTGTTACAGAAGCATGTGATAACCATGTCTGGCTGAGAGAAAACCAATGTTCAAGCCCATAACTCGTAGGGTGGTATATATATGAATGATGAAACACTAAGGCCACCTACTCATTAAAAAATATCCCTAGGAATAGGGGCGCCTGGCTGGCTCAGTCAATAGAGAGCTCAACTCTTGGTTGTGAGTTCAAACCCCACGTTGGGCACAAAGTTTACTTAAAAATAAAATAAACTTAAAATGATCCCTAGGATAATAGATCCTAGGAACAGAATTCCACGGACCTACCTTAGGGGTATAATCATGGCTCATAAAACTCAAAAGAGGTCTGGGTATCCTGTCCCATGCCAGATTACCATTATACCATCATGGAGTAAATGACTCACCTCTCCTTTGGGGTTTAAATTAAAAGCAAGGCAAATCAAAACAAATTCATCATAGAAGGAAACGGAAACGTTCTTTGCTGATTATTACTCATAAAATGCTCTTTACAGCGGGCCAATTTCTGCAGATTTCTCAGCATTCCCACTGAAGCCTTATTTGCTCCTGCTTATTCCCAGTGGAAGTAACTGCAGCTTATCGCCACACAACATGCCTTCAAATGCTCGGAGACTCTCACCGCGATCTCACTCTCCTCCATTGTTTACGGTCCTCATTGTGTGTCCTCCCCCACCCAAAACCTCTTTGGAATTTTTATGCCCTCTTTCCCCATATTTCATTAGTAGGTTCCAAACAGGACATCATGTGTTGTTTCCCAAATGGATATTCATATTCTAAAATAGAGTAACTAAAATTAAATTTCTGTTTATCTGTTACTCTATCTAAAATGCCACATGAATTCTGACCAAACTTTTATAGGCTATCTTTGGAATGTTGTCTGACTTAAACTCCAGACTACGTAGGACATATGGACCTGGCTTTGGAGTTCTTGTGGAGACCTCAAACAAGTGAGGGAGGCAGTCGTCCTGCAGAGCAACTGAAAACCAGGTACAAGAGGCTTGTGTGAGACAGGCCACACCCACCAAGGCACTGGGCAGAAACCAACTCTATTATGTCAAAATTGTAACATAGAAATAATTTTGTTAAGTCAAATTTTGGGCACCTGGGTGGCTCATTCGGTTAAGTGTCTGGCTCTAGATTTTGCCTCAGGTCATGATGTCATGGTTCTTGAGATCAAGCTCCACATCAGGCTCTGTGCGGACAGTGTGGAGTTTGCTTGAGATTCTCTTTCTCTCTACCCCTGCCCCATTTGTGCATGCATGCGCTCTCTCTCAAAATAAATAAATAAACTTAAAAAATGAATACATAAATCATAAATTCTAAGAAAATTCCAGGAATTTTCAATGTTATAAAATCATTTTATGCATAAATGTCTTAAAAGAATTATTTTAATTTAGTAAAACAGTCTTTAAGTGTATTTTATTTACTTATTTATTTGAAAGATTTTATTTTTAAGTAACCTCTACACTCAACGTGGGGCTCGAACTCATAACCCTAAGATCAAGAGTCACATGCTCCACCGACTGAGTCAGCCAGGTGCCCCAAGCATATTTTATTTGAAATACTGAAATGACCCCAACTTTCTAACAGCTCCTAAACTATTAATATATTTAAATGCTTTGTCAACACTAGCCCCCAACTTCAGAGCAGAGGCAAAAGACCCCTAAGTTAGGTCATTGACCCATCATCATAAAACAGTGTGCTGAGTTTGAAAGAGTGTTTTCCACAACTGATCTAGTCCTAGTCTTAGAATATAATAAGTACATGCTGAGTTAGATGTGTTGTTAGGGTAACTGCCATTAATTTATCCAAAATACATGGAAGACGGAAGTACATTTCAATTTCTTTCCCTATAGTTTGTTCTCTTTTCCCTTCCCTTCTTTTATTCCCCCTCTTCCTCTTTTTCTTCTTCTTCTTTCCTATCTTTTTTTTAAAGGTACCTTTTTTAAAGATTATTTTACTTATTTTGAGAGAGAGAGAGAAAGAGAGAGTGACTACAGAAGGGCAGAGAGGGAGGGAGGGAGAGAGAATCCCAAGCAGGCTGCATGCTGTCAGCACAGAGCCCAACATAGGACTCAAAACTCATGAACCGTGATATCATGACCTGAGTGGAAATCAAGAGCCAGAGACTGAATCTACTGAGCTACCCAGATGCCCCTCTTCTTTCCTATCTTAATGGATTTTTTTTACAAATACACATTTTTAAATAATTTTTTAATTTCATGTTTATTATTTTGAGACAGAGAGATAGAGACGAGGGGAGAGGCAGAGAGAGAGAGGGAGACAGAATTTGAAGGAGCCTCCAGCTCAACTGTCAGCACAGAGCCTGATGCGGGGCTAGAACTCATAAGCCATGAGATCGTGCCCTGAGCCAAAGGTGGACGCTCAACCGACTGAGCCACCCAGGTGCCTCCACAAATACACATTTTAAACTTTTAACCTTCTTTCCTATTTATCCATTTTCCCTCCCTATTATAGTTAAACTTTGTATTAACTTTAAAACTCAGTAGCGGTATTAACCAAAAAGGAAGAATAACCTAGCTTAGTGAGGTAGGACTGAGAAATGGAACCCAGGGTTGTGGGAATTAAAAAAAAAAACACTTCTGTTTTTTCCACTGTCCTTTTATTAATGAGTAGGTGGGTTATTTTCCATATATTTAATAAAAATTAACCCACATAAAGAAGTGAAACATCAAAGAATACACACTTTAACATATATTTTTAGTGTGGTAAGTGCATCTGATTTGTGTCAACTTATTCACATAATGTCGACAAGTAGGTGCGGCAGCAGGCAGGGCAGGGGCAAAGTTTAGCAGAATACTAGATGAGTGATTCATTCTGTCTGTTCATTCGCTCATTCCCCACCATGTTTTCACAAGTATTTAAGGCAGCTAGCCTGGTGAATTATACTTATATAATGAAAACCATAATAGTTGACTAAACTGGAATTAAATATCACAATTCACATTTATATGGCACTTTATAGCTTTTCAAAAAAATTTTTAAAGTTTTATTTTTGAGTAATCTCTACATCCAATGTGGGGCCTGTATTCACAACTCCAAGATCCAGTCGCATGCTCTACCGACTGAGCCACCCGGGAACCCCAGCACTTTATAGCTTTTAAAATTGTCTTTATATAGTTTGAGTAAAATGAAAGGACTCTAGTAACTTATCAAATATACTTTAAATAAATCCTTTAAAATAAATTTTTATACCACTTATTTTTATATAATACCTTATAAAAATAATTCAGTTATATTTATTTTTGCTAGTAGATAAAAGTACCTTTTCTTTTTAATGCTCCAAATATACTTGGTCTAATAATGTTGGTGGGGCTTTGATTTCTTCTTCTAAAATAAAATTATCACAATCATTACCAGAAAAAAATTTGAACAAAATCAGCTATGACTGTTTCATTAGAATAGATCCAAGGATGTACACTAAAAAAGGACTATGTAGTATCACATCATTTTATTGCTTTTCTCTTAATCTGGGTTAAAAACAGGAATGCCTCAGGGTAGCAAATTGTCTTGCAATTTAGAAGGATTCAGGATTTTTTGAAAGTATGGAGGAAAAAAGCTAGAAAGATCTACTGTTCTGGTTGTGACTTGCCTTGAATCAAGGTGAGAATCATGGGTAAATGAGCGGTACAGCTGTTTACAGCTCCATAATTAGTTTTGATCCTTATCAACAAGCTTGGAGAAGAAGACTATGTTCAAGTAGGGTTAGTGAATTACTGATTCTTCCTATGTTCACATGTTCTCAACTCGCTTGATTCATTTCAATATACAAAATGATAAACCAAAACAATGATATTTTAATTTAGCGAAACACACATTACTTCTTTGGTTGTCATAGAACCTGGAGCTACACTTTCTTTTAAGATTCTAAAATTCTTATTTTATGAGCAAATCAGAGAACTCTAGATGCTGGCGAGGATGTGGAGAAATGGGAACCCTCCTACACTGTTGGTGGGAATATAAACTGGTACAGCCCCTCTGGAAAACAGTGTGGAGGTTCCTTAAAAAATTAACAGTAGAACTCCCCTAGGACCCAGCAATAGCACTGCTAGGAATTTACCCAAGGGATACAGGGGTGCTGATGCATAGAGGCACATGTATCCCAATGTTCACTGCAGCACTCTCAACAATAGCCAAAACATGGAAAGAGCCTAAGTGTCCATCAACTGACAAATGGATCAAGAAGATGTGGTTTATCTATACAATGGAATACTCCATGGCAATGAGAAAGAATGAAATCTGGCCATGTGTAGCAACATGGATGGAACTTGAGGGTGTTATGCTGAGCGAATTAAGTCAGGCAGAGAAGGACAGATACCATGTGCCTGCACCTATAGGTGGATTAGGAGGAACTTAACGGAGGGCCGTGGGGGAGAAGGGGAAAAATACTGGGAGAGAGGGAGGGAGGCAAACCATGAGAGAGACTCTTGAATGCCAAGAACAAACTGAGGGCAAATGGGGTGGGGGGGAGGGAAAGGGGGGTGATGGGCATGGAGGAGGGCACTTGTGGGGATGAGCACTGGGTGTTATACGGAAACCAACTTGACAATAAACAATTTAAAAAATTTTTATAAAATACAATTCTTATTTTATAAGCAATCTGGTATTTCCATACAACATGAACTTACACTGGAAACTGTTGCGTAGGGCTGGGATTAGGACTTGGAGGAAAACTCACACAAGTTTGCAACGATGGAGAAAAATATTGCTAAAACAAAATGAGAACAGAGGTTTTAAAACCAGCAATCTTCTCAGAAAGCAGATCAGTGGTTCCCTGGGGGAGTGGGGGGGTACAGAAGGCAATGGACTGCAAAAGATCATGAGGACATTGCTTGGAGTGTGAGAACTGTTCTACATCTTGGCTATAGTTATGGCTACAGGATTATACACAATTACCAAAATTAATTAAATCATATGCTTAAAAGTTGGCAACTTTTGTTATATGTTAAAAATGGTTCAAGAAATGAAAAGGAAGGGAAAACTGCCAGATGTACTACAGCAAAATTATCCCCCTCCCCAAAGTTTGGGTGGTGAAATATTAGTATTTCATAGATATTTCAAAGGACACAGATTCTTAGGCTCTCCTTTCTTACCTTGTCAATCCCCCTGGTGGGAGTAGGTGCTGGGGGTACTGGAATTAAATCAATGCACTTTGAAGATGGTTTCTCTAAATCATTGTCACTCTGTGTAGGCAGAAAGCAGTGTACAATTGGAGCACCAATTGCTTACCTAATCAAACGCTTAAGGAGGTAGCTGCAACATGGGGAAGGGAATCCTTACTGAATCAGTGGGTGTACCATGGTAAGGAGCTCATATCAGCCTAACACAAGCAGGGAACCCACGATTCACTTCAATAAGGAAAGGCACTCTTTACCCTTTTAGAAAAGGGAGCTTCATGGCAATTTGAGGGGCTTCCCTAGTGTCTCCAAAGATGTAGAACGTGACTACTTGATATTGAGCAATACTTACTAGTATTTACACTAATCCTAAATTAAAATGTTTCTCTTCCAGTTTAACCTGTACTTTGTTTTTAAAGCCTACAATACTATGTTCAGGAAACAATCAAAATGGATTTGGTTAGAATTAAGATACAAAGGAGGCAGCAATGATAACTACAGCTATAAAAAATGTTCATAGATTTTATATAGACAGAATCAGTACTGCCTAATTCAGGACTTTAAAATGTGCTCTTTTCTTTTCCGAGACACAGGTAAAGTTATGTTATGTGTTCCCTTCCACTTCCTAACACATTCACAGATTCACTCACTCGTGCCAACACCTGAAGTAATTAGAATTGGGTCAGTTAAGGGAATCCAATAGCATCTATAAATTGTGTTGGAACCAAACATGAAAAGGAGCAGGCTCCAGAGGTCTTCTACTCATTCTTCAGCACCTACTCCTAAACCAGGGATTGATGGCCATCTAAGGTACTCAGGGCTCAAAGGAAAATAAGATGTCACTGTTTCTGCTGATGGCCCATTTCCTAATCTAACCATTCCCAAATCTGGAAACCGACATCTAAGCAGAATCTCTTCTACTCGAATTTCAGCTTAATTCCTGTTCTATCATTATCTGAGATGTCCGTGGAAAAGAAGCCTAAACATCATTCAACTTCTACAACTTTAACTCCAACTGTAATGTGTACAGAGGCATTAAAAAATGTTAGCAGGGGATGTAATGAAATTCCAAATATGTTCAAGTTAAAGGTTGCATGTTAAAATGTTAGTGGGAGTGTATATGCTACAGGAATAAAAATGCTGTGTTTATCCAGGAATAAATTATGTAGAAAGGAGTGAAATCATTTATTGTTTTGTCATGTAAGCAATTTGACCAGCAGAACTGAACTCTTCTTAGACTTACTAGGACAGAGAGGAAGCTGGTCCAAAACAATGGTTTTTGTATCAGACAACTACTTACTTTGAACCCCACTTTCAAATGGTGTCAGTTATTTTTATCAGTAAGTCATAAAATGTTCCTTAACAGCAATCAGAAATGATTTATGCAGCATACAAATTTCAGTTTCAAATGAGAACTTAGATTTCTAGAAATTACAGCAGAAGCAGGTAGTACCAACACCGAAAATCAATAAAATTGAAATGTTAATACCATACCAGTTTCAAACTTTCTTCCCAAGACTGATTTATCTGTATTGCAGTTTGTACCTCCCTACAAAAGAAGAGATATCAGTACTGCAGTTTGCCTAACTAAAAGAAAAATATAACTGAATACAGAAATGATCAGAATAGTAATTCAAAGCACACTACTCACCATTCACGCATTGCTTCTCTATTTACTAAATCCATGCTTTCTTCCTGAAAGGCAGAACATGAGAATAAATGAATACCAGTTCCCATGGCTTTACAAAATTGTTTCATTGGGTTGTACCTTTACTATTATTCACTGGGCTCTAGAAGAGTCAGAGTATAAACAGATCTCTAAACACGTGTCTAGTTCTCTACGTTTCATTATTGCACCTACTACACCGAAGATCTCTTACTAAAGCATTGAAGTACGTCAGATATGCAGAAGCTTCTTAGATGAAACACTTTGTACCTTTCTTCATTCCAAAGAGAAAACGTCAAACATTTATTATACTATTTTTTCCATGATTCATACTATGATATTAATAAATATTACTCATAGTCCAAAGCAAACTAAATGTCTATCAGTATGGGTTTAAGTAAATGATGGTGCAAACATGATTTAAATCTAGTCATTGACACTGAAAAACATGTATGACATATTAAGTAGGAAAAAACCTCACATGCTATTTATGTAAAATTATAAATAAAAGGTGTTCAGAAGGATGTTCACCAAAAAGTTTGCAATACTTATCAATGAGTAGTGAGGTTTAGGGTAATTTGTTCTTTCTTTCTTTATACTTTGCCATAGTGTTTGACTTTATTTTTTTTATAAATTCAAGTATAATTTCTCACATAAATATTTTTACTTAAAAATTTTTTAATGTTTTATTTATTTTTGAGAGAGAGAGAGAGAGAGAGAGATAGCGTGAGCAAGGGAGGGTCAGAGAGAAAGAAGATACAGAATCTGAAACAGGTTCCAGGCTCTGAGCTAGCCATCAGCACAGAGCCCAACGTGAGGCTCAAACCCACAAACCGCAAGATCATGACCTGAACTGAAGTCAAACGCTCAACCGACTGAGCCACCCAGGTGCCCCTACTTTAAAAAATTTTTTAAATGTTTATTTATTTTTCAGACAGAGAGACAGAGCATGAGTGGGGGAGGGGCAGAGAGAGAGGGAGACAAAGAATCCGAAGCAGGCTCCAGGCTCTGAGCTGTTAGCACAGTGCCTGATGTAGGGCTTGAACTCACAAACTGTGAGATCGTGACCTGAGCTGAAGTTGGATGCTTAACCAATCAAGCCACCCAGGTGCCCCTCACATAAATATTTTTAAAAATAACCCACATATGGAAAGATATTCAGTGTTCACGGATTAGAAAAATTAATATTGTTAAGATGGCAATACTATCCAAAGTGATCTACAGATGCAATGCAACTCCAGAACAATCTTGAAAAAGAGGACTAAACATGGAGGATTCACACTTCCTGATTTCAAAACTTGCTACAAAGCTATAGTAATCAAAACCAGTGTGGTACTAGCATAAGGACAGACATATAGGCCAAAGGAGCAGAATAGAAAGCCCAGAAACGAATGCTCCGATATATGTTGATTTTCGACAAGGGTGCCAAACTATTCAATGGGGAAAGGACGGTCTTTTCAACAAACAGTGCTAAGAAAACTGAACACCTGCATGCAAAAGAATGAAGTTGAAACCATTCCTTACACCATATATAAAAATTAAGTTGAAATGAAGACCTAAATGTAAGACCTAAAACTATAAAACTCTTATATGAAAACAGAGGGTAAAAGCCTCATGAACTGGATTTGATAATGATTTCGCAGATATAACACCAAAAGCACAGGTAACAAAAGAAAAAAAACAAAAATTGGACTTCATGAAAACTTAAAACTTTTGTGCATCAAAAGACACTATCAAGAAAGTGAAAAGAATCACAGAATTGGCAGAGATGTTTGCAAATCTTGTATTTGCTAAGGGATTAATATCCAGAATATATAAAGAACACTTACAACTCAACAACAAAACAAACAACAAATTAAAATAGGGGCAAAGGACTTGAACAGATATTTCCCAAAGAAGATACACAAATGGTCATTTCCCAAAAAAGATACATAAATGGTCAATAAGTGGGGCCCCTGGGTGGCTCAGTCAGTTGAGCCTCCGACTTCGGCTCAGGTCGTGATCTCAAGGTTCTTGAGTTCAAGCCACATTGGGCTCCGTGCTGACGGCTTGGAGCCTGGAGCCTGCTTTCGGTTCTGTGTCTCCCTCTCTCTCTGCCCTTCTCTCTCTCTCTCTCGAAAATAAATAAACACTAAAAAAATTAAAATAAATGGTCAATAAGGATGTGAAAAATGTTCAACATGTGTCATTAGGGAAACTCAATTCAAAACTGCAAAGAGCTGGCACTTCACACTCATTAGGATAGTATTTATTTGTTTGCTTATTTGAGAGTGAGAGAACATGAGCAGAGGAAAGGGACAGAGGGGGAGAGACAGAGGGAGGGAGGGAGGAGAGGGAGGGAGAGAGGGAGTATGTGTGTGTGTGTGGGGGGGAGGGAGAGAGAGAAAGAGAGAGAGAGAGAGAATGAGAGAGAACCTTAAGCAAGCTCCATGTTTAGTATGGAGCCCAATGTGGGGCTTGATCCCACAACCTCGGGATCATGACCTGAGGCAAAATTAAGACGCAGATGCCTAACCAACTGAGCCACTCAGCTGTCCCAGAATAGCTATTACTTAAAAATGTGGAAAATAACAAGTGTTGGTTGGAATGTGGAGAAATTAGAACTCTTAAACATTGCTGGTGGGAATGTAAAATGGTGCAAACTCCATAGAAGACACTTTGACAGTTTCTCAAAAAGTTAAACACTGACTTACCATATTACCCAACAATCCTGCTCCTATGTATATACGCAAAAGTATTGAAAAGAGGGACTCAAATAGACACTTGTACACCAGTGTTCCTAGCAGCACTGTCTACAATAGCCAAAAGTTGGAGACAATCCAGTGTCCACCACCAGATGAATGGAGTAAAAAATGTGATATAAACGCAATGGAGTATCGTTTAGCCATAAAAAGGAATGAAGTTCTGACACACGTTACATACAACATGGATGAATACTGTAAACATGTTAGGTGAAATAAACACCAAAGAACAAATATTTTCTGGTTCCACTTATATGTGGTACCTAGAGTAGTCAAATCATTGTAGAGATAGAAAGCAGAATAGAGGTTACAGAAGAAAAGGTTAAATAGAAGTTATTGCTGAATGGGTATGCAGTTTCTGTCTGGCATGATGAAAAATTCTAGAAATGAAAAGTGATGATGGTTGCCCAAAAAGGTGAATTACTTAATGCCACAGACTTGTACTCTTAAAAATAGTTAAAATGGCTTTTAAAAAAAATCCTACAGTTCGAATGTATCCTGGTCTTCTTAAAAACATATAATACATCATAAAGTACCTAGGATAGTGCTGGGCAAGTATGATGCCAAATATGGGGACCATGAAATAAGCAGATGAGCTTTCCCTAAAACGACCTAGAATCATATTTGAGAGACAAGTTTTATATACATCAAGTTGGTGCTCTCCAAAGCAAGCATGAGCATAGCCCAGGAAGTGTACAAGGTGATGCACTGAGAAGCAAAAAAAAAAGTTCAATTTATACATTTTAAATCTAAGATAATAAGAAATGAAGGTTTGCTAATATTAGATAAACAGACTGACACAGGTGCTCTCACTCGGCCCATAGGGTCCAAAGATCTTGCAAAAAAAACAGCGTCGGGGGGGGTGGGGGGCTTAGCTAATTATAAGTAATTGCAAGTTAGGTGGCCATATGGATATATTATCTAGTTTTAATTAAACTGAGTTCCACAAAATAGACAAGTATCTTAACAAGATTTCTATAAAGAAATGTTGGACAGAAGATTCATAATACAAGTCTAAGCGAGCAACAGGGAGATGACAAAGGTGGCATCTGTACTCCTCCTAGCCCAGCACATCATCGGCCACCTTCTTGTGAAAACACAAAGCTGAGCTAGTCTCTATCAAGGAGCTGGCCACAAGAATTTGAGATCATGAAGACTACTAGAAATATGGATCCATATTCTTCTCAATAATGACCCATAGTTAATAAAATACAGTTTAAAATGTCCTAAAAACATTATTTCATCTTTCTCTCGTCCTTGTTATATTTGTATTCTGCATCTATTCTATGATTCACATTATATACCAGCTTGGTAGTATACGTCCATGATGTAAATACAGTTTACATGTATTGGAAGGACGTGCTACCACATTTTGCACTGATGCAGTGTATGATCAAAAGAGCTTAAATATTACTGTCTACATAAACAATACATGTGATGGGTAGTCTGGACTAGAAGAGTGGCGTGAACTGTGTGAATGAAAATTTGACCTAGGCTCTGAATGGTTTAAAATCTGGACAAGCAGAGGGTGGAGGGGAAGGTGCTCCACGCAGAAGGAATCAAGTAAACATAAGCGTAGAGGAGGGAATGAACGTGGCAGGTGTGAGGGTAGTGACACTAACCTGCTGAAACAGAGTTTGTACTGAGAAGCGATGAGACCTAAAACTGGAGAGGTAAAATAGGGCCAGACTTCTCAGATCTTAAATAACCGAAGGGTCTGAACTTAAAGAATAGCATAATTGTTAGGACCGTAGGCTTTGGAGCCAAATAGAACTGGGTCAAATCTGAGCTCTGTAACTTTAAAGAAAAAAATTTTTTTTAAATGTTTTTATTTATTTCTGAGAGAGAGAGAGAGAGAGACAGCGTGAGCAGGGGAGGGTCAGAGAGAGAGGGAGTCACAGAATCCGAAGCAGGCTCCAGGCTCTGAGCTAGCTGTTAGCAAGGAGCCTGACACGGGGCTCGAACCCACAAACCACGAGATCATGACCTGAGCCGAAGTCGGACGCTTAACCAACTGAGCCACCCAGGTACCCCTGGGCTCTGTAACTTTTTACCTGTCAGTCCTAGGCAAGTGACTTAACCTTGGCCTCAGTCTCTTTGTCCATATGAAGATGATAACACAAATTGAGGATAATGAAGTGTTTGTACAGTTCTTATCACAGTGCCAGGCAGCCTATGTGAGTAAGTGCTCACTACAACCTAGCTATACTTATTCCTATTCAATAGGTAATGGGAAGCATTATAACTTTCTACACAGGGGAGGAAAAGGTGAAAATGATGTCTTAGAG